TCGCCGGATGCTATGACTGCAGTCAGATTAGTCTCTGTGGTGGACTCTGCAACAACGGTTGTTCCCATTGAGTTGGTTCTCTCCATGGAGTAACCAGTAGCCTGTGGTCGTTATCCTGCTGCTTTAATTCGAATTTCTGTTGGTAGCTTGTTCCGGAATTTACCCCAGTTCTCTAGAATTGTCTGTAAAGTTAGCTCAGACGGTAAGACCAACTTCAACAACCTAGGACCACACCCTTTGTAATTTGGTGACACCGGAATCCTCGTTAGCAATGACATTTTCTAAAGACAACGCTTCACGAATCTATCGCCATTGCTCCAGGTCCTGCCTGAACTTGTTCAGGAGGTGAAGCTTGAGACTCGGGGCCGCCATGAATAATGACGGTTTTCAGGGCGTGTTTTCCACTTCCCTGTTGATTGTTCATATCCTTTGAACGTTCTTTCCATGGAATATCCGGTAAGGTACATACTCCGTTCGATGCTCTGTGATGTCGATTTGCAGCGAGCAGCATGGATTCCGTTTCTTCCGCGGAATGTAGTGTTACTCGATGTAGTCGAAGTTCACCGTAGTGTAAGTTGTTTGGGTGTCTTGCGATGCGGCTCAGCGTAGTGGGTTCAGCGCGCATGCTGATGGCACTACAGATAAATTCCCACTGACTACGACCGTCTATCAGTTTGCCGTTTATTCTGTTGGATTTGGATTCAGGAACGTTAGTGCACACAAGACTTAAGGCACCATGATTCCGTCATGTGGTTTGCGACTTAACAGCACTAGGTTCTTTCACTTTTGTCGATTTGTGAACCACACTGGCGATAGCGATCCATATTGAGGCACAGTCTTGACCTCTTCGGTAAGTGGAGTCACAGGTGTCTTTGACGGCGTTTTCCTAGAAGCAATCGCTGCGTAGGATGTCCAGCTATTTTTTACCGTAGGCTTGCTGGAGTTAAGTGTGTCGAGTATGTCAACTGAATTACTAGTTATTACACCCTTGGAGGACGTAGTAGCAAGTGGATTGTAAACGACCTTTTCATTTAGTGGAGTCCTGAGGCTAGGGGCTGTTGGAGACTGAGACGTGCTGGTGGGGTTGGGATGCCTGGCCCTCTTCCTCGGCCTAAACGGGGAGTTTGTAGGTGTCCGTTCAGTTTCAAGTATAGCGTTGTTTATTTTCACAGCTGCGTTGCGAGCGTTCACTAGTAGCTCAACTGTTTCCGCCAACTTTTCACACTTTTTCATTAGGAAACTTACACAACTAACGACAGGAATGGATTTGCACACCTGGCAGAACCAAAATGCTTCGGTGTTGCTGCTGTATTGTCCAGTTTTGAGTGTACTCATCCCTAAACACTTCGAATGGTAGGCTTTTTGACAGTTAAATCAAACTGGACCAGACTTAACAGTTTTTACACACAGGTCACAATTGATTTTCGAATGGGCCATATCTACTTGAGGCGTGTACTTTGTTATTTTGACTTGCACCAATTCCAAAAGGGGATTAGAGAGAAAGTGAGAGTCCAGAATCTATGTTGTAGATCTCTCACTTATCACTAGCGTAGAATAGATAATTCTACTGAATTATGTGGTCACGGTCAGTAATGGGGCAGCGAAGTGGGAATGACCGCAGATGGTGGTAATATGGTGTGGAGATTCGCCACTAACAAGATGGAATGGAGTAACCGGATGTGTACACTACAATGGGTGTAGAAAGTGGATAGAGAGACTGACGCACCGTGTATGACTTCGCTTTAGTTTTCGTTGCGCGGCGATCGGCGCTGGTTTGAGGTAAGGGGAGTGAGACGTGTGGCGTCCAGATGAGTCACCCGTTCCTTAGGGTAGATAGGCGATGTGCGTGTTATTGGTCCAGCAGGTAGGTGGATAGGTAGTCATGCAATGTAGGACTGAGGCAAGACAGAACGACTTGGAAAGTACTGTCTATTGACGACAGTGGCTGCACAAAGGCGGACCAAATTGACAACTATCGCTTTGTACAGCGACTAGAAGGAGTGGTAGTAAGATGCTCGGGTGACGCTCAAAACGATCTTTAAAATAAGACTACCAAGGTTCTTGTGCGACGAGAGGAAAAATAAATTGTCCGATAAATTCAAGCACGGTTGACTTCCAAATTGCAAAAGCACACTTTGCTGCTGATCCAGGAATGACAGATCCAAAAGGTGAACAGTGGTAGGAGGAGCTCGCGGAGCCCAAACGAATGATAATACGTAGGTCACTGTGAGAATAAATCCGCAAATTTCAGGGCGAATAACGCAGGAGGACACTTTTTTGTGACCGCTCAGGGTAGCAACAATGAACCCGAGGAGACGTGATCCGCAATCCTCGCTGACAGCCTTCTCTCAATTCTGCCAACCTACTTGCTACCGCAATTACAGGTAAAAAGGTAGACGAACGAGGCGGTAACTTGGGGGTCTGGTCAGTTTACGTTGGATACGAACAGCAACCTCCTGACTTGATGCAATGCCACTAACTAGGCCGCCTAATAGCACTTCTTTATAAACTGACGAAGCCGATGCCGACATTTTCTATCTACTTGGTCCTTTTTAAACAAAAGCGTAATAGATACCTTTTTCTTTGGAACTTTTGGTGATGGTTTATCTTTTGGATGTAAGTTCGCGGAACATGCTCTAAATCGCTTGGCATATCCATTCTTGTGTAGCGTCGAGGTGATGGGTTTTTGTTCACATTCTATTTTTCTGGAGAGCAAATTTGACGAACTCTAGCAAAAGCCGTACGAACTAAAGCTCGCTTGTAGTTCATAGGACAGAAGCTGTTAAAGTTCAGGTACTCTCCTGTCCATGTCGATTTTTGTACACAGACCGAACGAATGTACCGTCTAACTTTCTGTAACTTAAACTCCAGAAAATAGAAATATCCATCGGATTCGTTTTCTATCGTGAAGTTGACCGCGAAATGGCACTTACTCATCACTTCCAGTGGACATGTTGCCTGCTGATGAGTGTTAACAACCCCGGTGTCGTACAAATACCGGTCATAAACATGTACATCCTGTATATCAGAAGGTAGTACGGCGTTTTCCCGGTGGCCCAGACCAATATCAGCCAAAACTGGGCCAAATGGACTTCCCATGGCCCAGCAGTCGATTTGTCAATACAGGACTTCATTGAATCGGAACTGAATATCTTTAGTGTATAAACGGAGTAGTGACTTCAGTTGGGATGCTGGGATCTCAAATTTCTCAGCAAGCCTGGCTAGTACATCTAACTTTTCCTGTACTTGCAGTAGCAAGTAGGTTAGCAGAACTGAGAGAAGGCTGTCAGCGAGGATTGCAGAACACGTCCCCCGGTATATAGTCGCAAATAGTCCGAAATTAATCACTAGCTCTATTGCATGCCACGTACCAGACTGCCCTGGGTGCAAAAACCCACGTGTTGGGTTTAAGGTAATCAACAAACAAATTACTCCCATCTACTTCAGTTCGCTGAGGCCTCGGCGATTTGCCGGTTGAAACGACGTTTGTGCAAACAAACGTACTTCGTGATCATCCGAGCCCTACACTGACGAGGCTAGTGTCGTCTTTCTTCTGACCGGCTCATGTGAACTCTCCGATTTTTGACTGCTTTAAATTTTCGTCGAGAACATTGTAACTTGATGGTCCTTGCTCTGTAGCCTATCCTTTTCAAAAATTGTTTGTAAACAGTTGATGAGAACACACTAAATCACTGAATTCTGTATATCCTGTTGAAATGTGGTTTCTTCTTGCTATTATAAACGGGAAACACTTTCGGCATGTTAAAAAACTTCATCTCCAGTGCTACATCTAGTCTGTTGGTAGATTGCACTATGTCCTTTAACCCAATGAATGCAATGAATCTGGTGTCAGATCTGGTAAGATCGCTAGCAACGGTGCACAAGTGGAGTTCCAAGTATTCAAGGACTGCAAATGTAAGTCCGTCGTAAATTGCGTCGACTTCGTAGCTTGGACAACTGCGGGGGATACAAATACAAGGCCATGAAATCGAAAGACAGCCATTCAGCATACTTTATTTGCATTTCATGCTTAAACAGCTCACGCGTTGCTACTAATCGATGTACACCATGAAAAATTACTACAAATAATAACGCCATCATTACGGTTGACGTGTGCGTTGACGCTCAACAAGGAATGGCCAAACCCGTCGACTTGCACAACTACACCTTATGATCAACGTGAAGCCAATTTCCTGCAGTATACATATGCCCAAACGAGAATATCCACGACATTCTATCACACCTTTGAGGTCTTCCAATTTTCCACATAGCAATCGGATATTGGCGCTGAATAAAAGTAGTAGACTTATATTTTCTAGCTTTTTCCTCCGAAGTGCAACGCGCCAACATGCAATATGTTTGTGTCGAATTCCTTTACTTCTAACCGTGTCAGTTTATTTTTCCTCTTATGGCATACCCAGGACAAATTAACCAATTCATATGCGTGAGAACACGCAAAGGTGCAATCTTTTGAGTACAAACAACGGGTCTCTATTGCAGAACAAAATATTGCAAAGTGAACGTGAAAAGACCTCAGTGTAGTGCCGAAAAGCGAGTGTTAGCAAACCCTTTGGACAAGGTTTATGGGGCACGAATGAATTAGAATACTTCGCAGTCATTGCGCAATTTCGGGCAGTTTTTCTTTGTTTGTACGTCATTGAAACGGGTTACGAAACAGCACTGTGGCTTACTTTTTCATCTTATGCTTGCAAACTGACTTAAACCTTTAAAAAGACGATATATGTTTGAGGTTCTTGGTAGTAACTGCATGGGATAGCCGACGCTATTTATCCCACCCCGTACTCAAGATGTGGTTGGATGAATGTCAGAACCGCGATGGGTGTGCGAGATTAGTAGTCATTTAGCTAAACAACCCTCGGGGCGGTGCATATATTTGCTGATCGGAAGCTTCAAGACTTCTTCACAAACTGGTTAGCTGCATTTCGCAAATTAACTCGTATCAGATAGTTGCCATTGGTTTTCTCCCTCTTTCTCATCAGACTACGATAGCCGACAGCAAGAATTGCCCCCCGTCAAATGGAATAAAGCCCATTCATCCAAGCACATGGTTTATACGCCGGTTTACGTAATTATGACTACACAAATTGCGCAAATCAATGTCAATCTTCAATTGTACATCACACTGAAGCTGACACAAGCTAGCCAGTGGGAAGCTGTTGGTCCTTTTACAATTGTAGCACCATATCATAAGAAAATCAGTGGTCCGCTTGTGATCATGGCCGATGAAGCGTAGTACCTCGCACAAGCAGTAGTAGCACATGATGTTCTGATAAGAAACACGCTAATCACTCTCAGTAACTTGGAGTTGTACCCGTATGATGTGTGATATATTACCAAATTATGATTTAATTTTTTACCGAGGAGAATTAGTCAGTTGATCCATCACAAGTTAACCACTGTCTTGTAATACACATAAATCCGCAAGCCGACATGAACGCTGAGCTGGATCCTCCCGGAACTTCCTATTTCCTTAGATGCCCTTTATCCTAGCGAACATGTAGGCTTCGGCAGTAAACTTATATCTCGCCTAGGTTATTTTGCCATTTTAATGTTGCTTGCTTGCACGCTTGATTGCTTTTGCGCATGGAGGGCCCCTTCATAGAGTGCCTTGTAATTGGTAACACCTAAGAAGATATTTTGCGCTAATTTTCCGTTTTGTCCGGAACACGCAGATCAGAGTAGCAACAGAACGGATATATGCTTGTCTGCACATATGCGCGTTAGTAATGCAACCAAGCAGATGGGAGACTACAGGCTGATCCAATGCGCGTTATGTAGACGGCGTGGGTGGTATAAACAACCACACAACGAACAATGCCTTATGCCGGGTGAAAAAGCAGTAGCTTGACAATTCCCGCAGGATGGTAAGAGTAAAACTACCATTATCGAAAGATAAGTGAGTTAACTGTTCGAGCGTTTATCTAGCAGATAGGCTGCTGAATAATAGTAGTGTAAGTGGGAATTAAATGTGAACGATGTGGCAACATAAACACAGCTATAGGTGATGTATTACATGTGAAAAATAAAATAAAGTATACTATCTTCTCTCCAGCATCCTCAGGTTTAACTAACATGCTAACCCGCTTAGGAGGCATAATTAATATCTTCCAAACTGACGCAGTGTAAGCAGCGAAGTGCTGGGGCTAAGTGTAAAACTGAATCGTTGTTGGAAAATCTACAAGATGGGGATGAAAACAACGACGTTTGGGAGAGAGTTTCAGCGATTGCAAACCAGAAGAGAAAAATATTTCTACCGGCATTCCAGGCGGCTAAGCTGTGCATACAATCTCAGAGGTTTACCCCTGAGATTGGTGTTATGGCTGAGTTTCAGCAAGTGACGGCACACTGAAAGCTCCCAGTGACTTCAGCCTTTGATGGTAGGACATATTGGTAGGGCGTTCTTTGTAGCCACGCGTTCGGGTTTCGCTGCTACTTCTATGTCGCACTTCAACTACCTTGGCCAAACTTTGATGGCATATTCAAAACGAGGGAGCAAGTAAAAACTGTGCATCATGGAGAAGATGGATTAGTCGAATCCTCCGAACGCTCTCCACAGCAAGCTGACGTGTTAGTTGGATTATTTCGCAGCTGTCTCTGCCTGCTTTGAACAGTCAAGGTCACTTTAAATGAGCACATAAAGGTCACATTCTTGGGAATTGGTTTGCAATATATGTGACCCATGCCTATACACTTAGCCACGCCTATGGCGCAATTAGACAGCGTGACATAATTTCACATTAACGGTGGTGTATTCAGAAATGACCAGTTTGAAATCTTGTTGACGTTATGCTGGAGATTTTCGTGGTCGTTCGCTTTTTGATCGCTCGTTATTACGTGTAATCGTCCGCGAAGAGTAGGAAATCGGAAGTAATTGCCTTCGCCGGAATGGTTATGAAAATCAAGAGTGGACGGAGCCCGAGCACCGAGCCTTGTGGTACGCCGCACTCCGACTCAATTGCGTCAGACAGGGATTCTCGTACTCTCAATTCCAAACGACCTTCGTGCAGGAAACTGCCTATCCAAAGCAGCAGTGAGTCAGCAATGCCGTAGAGCCTAACGTTCTGAGGAGAATGCGGTGATCTAAGCGATCAAATCCTTTTGAGAATTCCAGGTAAATGTCATCGACTTCTGTTCCACCATCCATTGCTTAAGTCCAGCTATTGCTTGAAATTAACAGGTTCTTATTGCATGAGCGCTTTGTCGGAAGCCATGTTTCTCTGGTGTTAACATCTTGTGATTTTCTAGATACCGCGTGACTGTATCAGCGATGATAAACTCCGTAAACAGGGAAAGTACATGACGTAGTGTCTTAGGACGGTAATAATTTTGATCAGTGCGACTACCTACCTTATGAATAAGATTGCTGACCCCTTGCTTCTAGCTTATTGGAATATGCTTCTCCTGCATCCAGCGCTAATAGAATTTAGCCAGAGGTTCTGCCAGAACACAGGCTGCTGCTTGTAAACCCTTCCGTCGAATGTTAGGGACACCAGGATAGCTGTGGATACGTAAAGACAACAGTTACTTTAACACACTTTCTGCAGTAAAAGTAATATTGGATAAGGCTGATGGTGAGACAATAGAAACAGGGAAATCCGTTGGGCCTGTTACTCTCTGTAACGTTTGTGAGCAATGGAACCGCAAAAGATTGGCTGCTTCCGTTGCTGATCACGTGCATGCGTCAGCCGTGATCAGTGCTGGAATTCCGCATTGCACCTTCCGAAGACCATTAACATGCATGTATAAGAGTTTGCGGTTTGTGTTGCATCAATTCATTAACTTCTGATACGTCAGCTTGTTCTCTCGAATCAAACTCACACAGAAGTTACGCTGTGCCACATAGAAAGTACAGTTTTCGGAATTCGGGGAGTCTTCGTGAGCTCTCCATGCCAAGCACCCCAAGGATATGCATTTGCGTGTTCTGCGACTCAGAAATGACTTCCGTCCCATTTGACGGAGGAAGAATTTCTGCCCAGACGCGAGCATTACCAGTGTGTTGTATGTCCTAGTCGATTTCTTGGGGCATTCAGTTAAGTAGGTACAAGAAACTTCCTTAACACGCGCGGATAACACGTAGGGCGTGACCGTATATACTTTTCATCCTTTTCCTCAGGATATTCCTCATAACATACCTAGTTAAACAGTAGAGTTACATAGTCACTGCGACCCAGTGATGTGCTTATAATTATTCCGTCTACCATGAGTTCGCTGTTGGTAAGCACAATATCAAGTATCGACTGCTTGTTAGCAGTTCGAAATCTGGTGGAAGACGTGGTTGTACAGAGGGTGGCTGGAAACTATCTCTTGTAAACTGGCTTTGAACTGCATGCTATCGGTTGCCGCTATTTCCGGATAGTCGCCATTAAAGTGGCCTGCAATGACAATGTGACTGTATGTCTTGTTCAAATCAAAGTGAAGGACGTGGTTTAGTTTGGAGTCCATTTCAAGTAGAGTTTGGTGGACGGCAAATCACAGCTATAGGACATGTGTCTTTGTTCCGCAACCATAGCCGGCACCATAGCTAATCTGGGGCACGAATCGCTGGGTGGTCAATGAGCTCACATAGGAGGTTAGCCTTCTAATACAGAATTACACCACCAGCTCTTCCAGCTCTGTCATTCAGATGTAGAGACATACCAGGTAACTTGACTTCAGAATCTGATATCTCAAGGCTTAACCAGGTGTTCGTAATCAAATTAACATCCCATGGTTGGGACGATTGACGTCCTCTAAGTGCGGCCAGCTTACTAAGAAGGCCTTGGGTGTTAGTATACAACAATTATAGTGTTTTGATGTTAGATGTGTATAGGTGGACAACAAATTTGTGTTTAGTGTTAAGCTGACTGTTCGTTCGGCGGCCACCAAGCCTATTTTTGTGTTGGACTTTAATTCTTGAATTTCAGTCAGGCTGCATGGTAGCTTGGCGCATCCCAGGTCAAGATGTTCAAACCTGTGTCTTCTTGCCCCGTCAGGTGTCGCTGATATCATGTTGTCTACACATCTGCAGAATTATGGAGACAAATATTTTACCAAGGTTACATATCCCAATGAAGTGCTGACAACTAACGGCAATGTGCCTGCTATATTTAGCTTAATCTCGGTAGGCAACCTGGAGTGATACTTCAACCAGCTATCTAGTACGACTTCTGCCATTCCATCGGATTGGAGCACGACTTTCAATATTTTTAGACTGCTGTCCTTGTAGTTTAGAGAAGAAGAACTTCTCGTCAGTGATTTAGCGATAACGTGTCCCAGAGGGAGTGCTTCGCGGATGTAACACCACTGCTTTCGGTCATGTTTCTGCGCTTCGTGCTCAGGAGAGCCCAATAGTTCAGGAACACCGTGAACCAATACTATATTTTGCTCTGGCTTTTAGAAAAGCCGCCATGGATTTCTTTCACCTTTGACTGTCCTTTCCAAGGAATATCGGGTAGTAAGCGCACCCCACTCGATAAGTTGCGAAGATGAATTGTTAAGGGTAGGAGTATCTCTGTCTCCTCAGTTGAATCCAAGGTTACTCGAAGAGATTGAGGTTCACTGAATTTGGGCGAAATGCTACACACCTCGTAGCGCAGTTGGTTCAACTCAAATACCAGGCGCATCGAAGAGGGACTGCCGCTGGTTTCGATCATCTACCAACTTGCCCTTTATTGTGCCAGATCTGGACTCAGGAACGTTAGCGCACAGGACCGTTCACGCACTGTGGTTCTGTTTATCCAATGCCCGTTTGAGTGTTGCGGCTGGTAACTTGGATTGTTTGGCGGACATTAAAGAATATTTATGAAAGCAGGCATCACATCATTCGTGCTTGGTCCAGAAAATAGACTTGCGGTTATCGCTGCAGGCGTTTTATCTAGGTGATGGATGCGTGTTTCTCGGTTCTGGACTGTCGGTGTCGGTGTTGTGGCCAACTCGTGAGATATGCTATCTAGGGATGAGTTAATGGCATTTACGCTGGATGTGGATCGCTTTCCTAAAGGGTTAGTAATTGTCAGCGTAGGTGGTGCAGACGCCATTGGGCGGTTAGCAAGCCTGACTTTAGCCTTCGAGTTAGGGACAGAGCTTTGAAAAGTTTGCTGTATAGCCAGGTCGGTGTTGTTAACTTTTGGTGGCAAAGCCCTAAAGCTCTCTATCTGCAAGGCTATTTCATTCTGTTTGTATCTTTTTTCACGAGCGATATTATGCATTTGACTATTGGGATTGCGCTGCATGGTTGACAAAACCAGAGCGAGT